CATCTCTGCCTTCTTAGTCTTATAATGATTCTCTAATGATCCTAGGAATCTCTGCAGAAAGCTCATTTTCAGCTAATAGTATCTAATAGAAGTCACTCCCTACTCATCATAATGTTCTTTATTTTCAAGTCTTTCAAGATCATCTGCATGGGAATAGATTGCATTATATAATAGATGCACTCCAGTTTCCAAGACACATCAATTTCCAAACATTTTTTTGCCAAGGCCAAGTAGAGTGAAAAAGAAACATCCTGAAAGGGAGCAGTTGTTCTAACCAGTTGGAGGTGACGATTTATCAAGAGTCGTTAATCCGCTGCCATGTAAAGAGCCTCCAGCACATTTACTTTCCATCTTTGTGAGAGTAAGTTCTAATTATGGCTTAGGGCAGTTTTCTCACCTGATGTTAAAAAGAAGTTTGAGGAAATGTATGCATTTTAAAAAGCAATCATCCAGTCTGCTGGTAAAGAAGATACAATTCTGCACAGATTGTGCCTCCGCAATTCTGGGGTTTCATATAAATGATCAGATTATTATTATTTAACTAAAATGAAAACAATCTACTCTCATTTATGAGAGGAGGGAAGTAAAACATTCACTTTGTTAATATCCAACTGAGATTTGCATATCGTTAGCTGTATAAAAAAGGATTTGGGTAGTTATTTTGTATGGATTTAATGTTGTTATGATTAACCCCAACTGGCTACAAGCACTTCAAGGAAAAATGACCTTCATGTTTTCATGAAAACTTCAGTTCTGTCACTTATTAGCTGTGTGTCATTGGACAACTTAACTCTGGTTACCTGAGCTTCAGCTTCCTTCTCTTAAATAGAGCTGATAATGATACCACCTTTTGCAATTCACACACACACACACACACACACACACACACAACTTGGCACATGTTAGCTAGTCATTAGACATGGTCTTTATGCTCACCTTGCCTCTGGTATCAACAGGGTTATGCTTTTAGCCTAACCAAAGAATAAACCCAGGGCCAAAATATGTAGGTTCAAATAGTTAAGTACCCTAATAAAAGGGGAATTTCTATCTAAATATGTATTGCTCATGCTTTCCATTTATGCCTCCATGTCCCTACCCAATGTCCAATTCCACTTTTCAGATTTGTTACCTTGTGCTATGCATTGTCTTCTTCCTCAAGAGGTCCCTAAAAATACAAATGGTCCAGGAAAGGATAATTAAAGCCATTACCACCTTGTGAGAATGAGTATGTGTGTTTTTTCTCCCAGACTATCCCATATACTAATCCTTGGTAGCTGGGAAAGGATAAAATGACTCTGAAAGAGGGGCAAAAGGACACAGGATATACTTTACAATTTTGCTTGAGTAACTTTTACCAGTTAATCATTTATTAGGTACTAAAAACCTTCTGGAAGGAAAATCAGGAAAATGGTTTTAGTAGTTGCCTCTTCACTGCCTATCTATCCTCTTGTACCTTTTGAATATGGTACTGCAGAAATGTATAACCTATCCAAAAATTTTAATTTTTTTAAAACCCAATCCTCACACTCTGTCACTTGTCTTACTTTAGCTCTTAGATATTTGTTTACAGGATGTTGACATTTATAAGTTGACTTTTTTTCTTCTAAAATTAAGTTGACTTCATTTAAAATATGACTGGTTCTCAAAGCTAATTTGTCTTTAAAGTATTAAACATTAAAATATTCGTATTCGTGAAGACACAGAATTATGAGACAACATTATTTGCTGGCTCTGTACACACAGTTTTCTTCACTAAAACTTAAGCTTCCTGCAGACATCACCTGTGTTTTATTAATCTTGGGAGGCCCCATTGTGGCTTTCACAGAAGGGTTACTTTCTTGAGTTCAGTTCTCAGTCCTTTCTTCCAAGGAAGAAAAGTCATTAAATATAACATGATGTTTTAATAAAGGAATTTTCAGGATTTTTATAAAAACAAGCAAAATAACAAGAGACAAGTAAAAGGAAAGCCTCAGTTCCATCAACTTTAAAATAAGAATAATGATAGTACTGAGCTTGAAGAGTTGATGTGGGTATTCAATGAAATCCATGTCATAAATCTGACACTATGTTGTTGTTGTTGTTGTTTTTAAAGATTTTATTTATTTATTTGACAGAGAGAGACACAGCAAGAGAGGGAACACAAGCAGGGGGAGTGGGAGAGGGAGAAGCAGACTTCCCGCTGAGCAGGGAGCCCAATGTGGGGCTCGATCCCAGGACCCTGGGATCATGACCTGAGCTTAAGGCAGACGCTTAATGACTGAACCACCCAGGCACCCTCTGACACTATGTTTTGCAAATGGCAAGCACCCAACAGAGATTAGCTAATAATATTAATGATAACAGTAAGCTGGGAAATGATGCATGAATAGAACAGGTAGGTGAAAGAGGAAGAATGTCCCATACAAAGGAGAAATGTATGCCTAGAAAAGAATAGCATGGTGAGCTTTAGTGAAAGAACCTGGCTTGAGCCAAAGGGTTGGGAGGCACCCAGGGTAGAGTCAGAGATGCAACTGAAGCTGGAAAGGCAAGCAAAGTCCAGCTCAATGGGTTTACCAAGCTTAATGGAGGTTCTTCAAGAAGTTTCACAGGAGCAGGGACAGGATCAGATTTGAGTTTTAGAAAGACCAGCTTAGAGACTTGGACTCCACAGCATGGAGAATGGAATGGAGAGTAAGGAGACAGAAGGCAAAGAGATCAGTGGCAATAATCTTAAGATAATGCCTTCGCTGTTGTGGAATTTCAGTTAGGGAGGCAGGTGTCACATGAAAAGTATATACAACAGTCCAAAGAGGACCTTGAAGTAATTATTATCAGCTTGTTAATATTAGCTAGTTAGCATTTCATTCATTCATTTATTCACTCAACAACTAAGCCAGTGAACTGGTGTTGTGAGAGATTTCAAAGAGTGTTAGTTACCCTGCTTAGCCCTGCTTTCTGGAAGTAACCCCATCCAACACAACTGCCCGTATTTCTCTCTCTGGCTGAAAGATCTGTTAACTCTGCTGATTCAGATCATGTGTAATGGCAAAGGCATTTTTGGGAGACAACATGCACCTGTAGGATACTCAAGCTGGGAGGAAGTTCTACATAGCAGATTAGGATGGATCCTAAGGTGTGAAGATGATTCCCCTTCACCGTGGGAAGGGGAAATTTCACTGTAACTACCTCAGTATATAGTAGACTTCTTACTGCTCAAAAAGAAGTAAGTCTTCCATGACCCACTGTTAAGTAAATAATAACAACCATCACTCATGAAATGGCTTACCCTATAAATTTCAGATAGATTAATAAATTTAGTACAACTTTATGAAATAGGTATTATGTCCACTTTTCAGGTGAGAAGGAGGAGGCAGGAGACACTCCCCAAGGTCACAGAATTAGATGCAGTCTGGTGTTCCTATTCACTACACTATGTGGCCCTCCAGCAGAGAGCCACCAGATTGATATAAGAGTGAAGCCAAATTAAAATGTATGCCTCAAAAATCTGACAGGGGAGAAAGATCACTGCCCACTTACAATCAGGAAGGCCAAAATTTGGAAGGTTTTATTATAGGAATAAAATGAAATGGATGATTAAACGTGTGACAGTCTCTTGACAGGAAACTGGACTACCCTCATCAAAGGAGTACCATGTTGAAAGGGTTTTTGAAATCTCTTTTACACTTTAAAGCACAAACCTCGGTTGTGCCATATGGCCTAGGACACACTAGAAAGTCTTCAAATGGGGTTACACGCTTATCAGTTTAAAATAGAGTGGGCCATCTCAACAACTCAAAGGTGTGGCAAAGGAAATAAAAAGCAAAGAGAATGAGAACCTGTTACTCTTTTTGTTTTCTGCTAAGGTAGGGCGAACAAAAGCTGAATTAATTGTCTCAGTAAGAAATAAATGCAATATGCTCATTCTGCCCATGTATGGTTCTATCAGCTAAGTAGTGGAGCATGTGTAGAATAAGCATATTTTAACTATAAGCTCTATGAGGCATTCCTGATGCCCACTGTATAAAGACAAAATAGGGGGGAAAATCCCTAACTGTCCAGATATGAAAGAAACCTCCGGCTTCTTGCAATGCCACTTGGTGCCAATAGAAACGGAGAGTCCTGAGCCTGGGCTTTTAGCCTGGTGATAAGGGGAACCAGGGCCAGATGGCATTTTAAAATCCATTCTCACTCTCTCCCCACTCACCTACCTTGGTTTTTAAAGCCATCACACTCATTTTCACAAGCTGCAATATTTTAAAGTAGTCACTTTCCCTTGAGAACACAAAAAGCTCTAATTGCTCTAAGAGAGTAAAAATCATGGAATTTGTGAAACACCCATTTTTAATTAAACGCACAGACACACACACCCAAACCCAACACCCTAGACCGAGGACAGCTTTTCACACCCAGCCTATTCATGAGCACGTAGTCACAGCTCACCAACAAACCACTCCCCTGACAGTCGTCCCTTTCTGCCGGACTCACTCGCCACCACTAAAAAGTAACTCGGGACGCCCTAGATCTGTGGGCACCGACGCGCGGCTAATTCATCTGGCCTGCGCTGCTCTGAGCCCTAGGCAGGACTTGGGGGCTTCAATGCCACCAACCAGCGCTGCCCCCCCCCCGCCCCCCGCCCAGGAGGGACAAACCCTCCCTGGACCCGCTCCCGGGGAAACACTCAGAGTTGCATTGTCTTTACCACTGTTTAATCTTTACAAATAAAAATGCCTGTGAGATGGATTCCCCACCCCACCCACCTGCGGGAGTCCGCACAACCACACTCAGTCGGGTTGTCTAGGAGGCACCCAAGCTGCGCCGACAACCAGGAGGCGTGAACAATGAACTTCTCTCTTTCTCTCTGACTCTCTCACACACACACACACCCTCTCCCCCAATTGAGAAGTTTTGAACTAGCCGGGGGCCAATTCCGCGATTCCGCCCGCAACTCAGGCGCGGGCGGCGGGGGAGGGCCCGGTGCGCGTCCCCGGCCGCGCCCCTCGCGTCGCCTGGCCGGCAGTTACCTCCTTCCTCCGGCTCGGCGCCCCGGGTCGGGTGATGAGGGCCGTCTCCTCGCACACCACAGCCACGTCTTCCACGAACACGCAGTCGGGGAGGCTCTCGTCGGCTGGCAGCTTCACCACCTGCAGCCCCAGCTTACTGCCCAGCACGCCCACGTAGAGCTGATGCTGCCGCTCGGCACGGGCGAAATCCACCTCGTCGCCCTTGGCGCGCCTCAGCGCGTGCTGGCAGAGGGACTCGGGCAGCGCCCGCACCACGGCATGGGTGGCCCGGCCGAAGGCTGCGGGGTGGCCGAGCGCTGCCATGGCTCCGGGAGGCGGCGGGGGCGCGGCGGCCGGGTCCTCTCGCGGGCAGCGCGCGCTGAGCCTGCGAGCGCCCGGCGGCTCCCCTTGGCAGCAGATGAATGTGGTGCAGAAGGAGCCCGGCTCGCGCCCGGAGCCCTGCCCGAGCGACTGAGCATGCCCAGAGCTCCCGGCGCCGGCCCGCGCGCAACCCGCACGTCCACCCCGGCGCTTTCGGGTTTGCTGCGGCCGAGACGGGAGTTGTAGCGGCGAGCACCGCGCGAGGAGTGGGCCGAGGAAGCGAGGAGCGCCAGAGTTGTGCGCAGGTGGGGGACCTCGGTGGACCCGGACCTGAGATTACCTGTATTCCGCGGCAGGTGCACGTGAAGAGCGTGCAATGGTTTGAGCAGAGTGACTGGAAGGCTTCTTGGTGGTCAAGAGGCAAAGGATGGGATGATTGTGGATAAATACTTTGACCTCTCTCCCTCCTCTCTTGGTCCCAGGTTGCCCAGCACGTGGTACCACCCCCAGTTCCTAGCGTGAGAATCTGTTTTCCTACCCAGGTCTGCAAATGACCCCTCACCCCAGGTGAGACAGATTATAAAAATAATGTATTTCTTCCCGTCTGTGAGAAAGAGTCCAAAAACATACGTAGAGAGAAGAACAGAGGTATAGAAACACAGTATTTCAAAGACAATCAGTTGTCATGAACACTGTGATTCTGGTGTGTTTGTGTCCAGGGCCCGCACATGTAGGGAGGCAAAGACCAAGCGTGTTTTCCCTACTCTAGACAAGCGCTCACCTTGCGCAGTGTCAGACAAACATAGCATCACAACTTCTCCGCACTAGGAAAAAAGGTTTCCAACCTTCTCCCTGGCATTCTCTTCACGCCTGTACAGACTCGGTGCAATTCCCGTGGTATGTGTTGAATGTTTCTTTTTCCCATACACCTCAGGGAGTGCCTTTCCCTCCTTAATGGCACTATTTTTCTCTCCTCACATATCGCAGATTAAATAATCCATGAGTTCTGTTTCTTTTGAGAAGATCCACTTCAAAAACCAAACCATAACTCCAAAATAATCTCAGGTAATAATCTTTCCTCAGATTCTGGAGCACATTTCTAAGTTAAAGATTGATTAGATCATGAAACATTAGATTTGAATGAGACCTTAGAAATCCTCTAGCTTCCCATCCAAAGGTCCTGAATTCCAGCTAAAACAAATATGATAATCATAAGATCTTTACTTGAACATTTTAAACCTCTCTTACTTAAAAATCATATTCTACTCTTGAAGAGCTATAATGGTTAAAATCTTCATTTTGGGCTTAAAACCCACTGGTCCAAATTCTGTCTTCTAGCATTACCTAACAAGCTCATATTCTTTCACAAGATTGCGTTCATGTTATCTGAAGACAGTTCTCATATCTAGGCTGCCTGACACCACCCTCCCACCCACCATCTTGACCCCTTCTAGGCCTTGAGCCTGAACCATCAAAAAGTAACTAGTGATTTGGTTTCCAACATTCTGATCATCTTCCTTTTGACATACACCAGTTTGCCTGTATCCCTTTAAATCATAGTATCCAGAATAGAAACAATTCTTCCCGTGTGTTATGACCAGCACAGACCGACAGCAGGACCCTTGTTCCAGATGCTAGGCTTCTATTCACACCGCCTAAGACTGTATTCACTTTTTTGATGATCCAGTGCCAAGGCCTAGCCCACAGGCTTCTTGCCAGAATTCTGATCCCAGTTTTTAGGAAATGTGGGTTTCTAGGAGCAGATCTATCTGAGGATCCTGGAATGATTGTCCCAACTGAACCAGAGAAGATGTGATTTCCGCCCCCCCCACCTCCGCCCCGCTGCCTCAGTCTCAAAGGTAACTTGAATGTAAATGCTGGATGACATGGCATTTCTCAGCTTCAAAAGTGAGGGGTCTGACCCTGACACAGGAGAGTGGGGCCAAAATTAAAATAGCAAACCTTTAAGACCTACTTTGTTCTACTTCTGAGGCAAAACTCTCAGGGGACCCAGGCTGCCCTATCAGTACTAAGGTAGTGTCAGAAATCACTTAACGGTGGCCCCTGGCAGGGATTCCCACTAATGCTACAGCTGAAAGCCAACCCATGTGCTGAGCTTGACCTGGCTAAAATATGGGACTTTGTTCCCCCCCTTTACCCAACATTGAGGTTCCATCCATCTCCAATTGGCCTCTACCTAGCGACCTTAATTCATGCTGGTACCCTTTTAGAGTCTAAATATTTTGCCTGCCACTCAGTGTCCTGAGCCTAACTTTGAGTGGGGTCCTGTACCACTCTGGGCTCATGTCAGCCCAGCAGCCAATTAAAACTTGAAAGTTTTTTCTTAAAATTTCCATACTGAAATTGGGCCGTTGGTTTTTTAAAATTTAATCTTGTAGTTAGCCTTATTAAATGCTATCTGCTTCATTCCCACTTGCCTAGTTTTGATTCTGTCATCTTGTGCATTATTTATTACCTCTAGTTTTGTGTCATTTGAAATTTGATAAGCATACCTTCTGTCTCCTCTAAGCAGTTGTCAAAAAGCATTAAAATGTATAGGTCAGTGAAAAGAATAATAAGAATACCAACTCCAGTAAATTATAGTTTACATGCCTTCCTTGAGTTGTCAAGGACTGTTTTTAGGAAAATAGATTTTATTGAGCCTAATACATTTATAAATTCATTTTTCCCACAAATATTTATTGAAAATTCTCAAGGCACAACACCGTATTACATACTTCAGAGACATACAAGAAGCATAAAAACATGATCTTTAACCTTCAAGAGTTTGCAACCTCCCTGGGAAAACAAGACCTCCAAAATTGAAGCTATGACAAGGGCACATGAAAGGCATAGACAACAAAGTGCTATAGGAATTGAGGGAAAGAGATATCATTGTGGCTGATGGGTGTGGAAGAGAGCTGCTTGGAGGTGAATGGACTTGGTTTAGGCCTTGAATAATTTTTAGGATGTGAATAATTGGAAGGAGAGAATGAGAATTCTAAGGAAAAGTTTGTGCAAAAGCCAGACACGTGTTCCAGGGATAATAGACCAATTCAGTGCACACATATATTGGTTAAGAAAACTCTAGCTGCTACCACAAACAACCCCAACAAATATAGTGGCATAAAATTGGTATAAGTTTATCTCTTGTTTGCTTAAAGTCTAACACAGATGGTCCTGATTGGTTCCTGACTCTTCTCCCAGAAATATGCAGGGATCCAGCCTTCTTCCATTTTGTGGCTCCAACACTTCAAAATATGGCACCCAAGCTCACCATGCTCACCTTCCTAAAGCTGAAAGAAAGGGAAAGAACATACAGCACCATGTGTGAGAGGCTTAATGGGCCAGGCCCAGAAGTGATGCATGTCATCCCTGCTCACATTCCTCTGGCTGGAACTCAGTCCCACAGCTACAATAATCACAGGGAAGAGTTGAGAAATACTGTCTTCTGTGGGCCCAGGAAGAAGAGGCAACAGGTCACAGAAACAGCCAACAGGGTTCTGCCCTAGAGTACAATGGGAAAAACAGGAAATAAAGGTAGAAAGGTAGGTTAAGCTTTCCTCACTTGAACAATGAAGACACAAATGGTGTGGAGACTGAGTGTAGCCTCTAGAGCCAAACTCTGTGGGTGGAAGCATGGCTCTGCTGTTTTCTTGTATGATCTTAGACCTGTTTCTTAAAAGCTCTTTGCCTCAGTTTGATCCTCATCTGTAAAATGGGAAACGATGAATCCATTATCATAGGGTTACTATGAAGGTTAAGTTAGTAATACAAGGTGCTTAGAAAAGTGCCCAGAATAGTACCTAGCAACTAGTTCAATAAATATTATCCATTGACAGGATGTGAATAGAAGGCTCTGAATGTGATTTCCTACCAAAGGTCAAACCACATATCCACATTCACCGAATTATCAGACTCATACAGGTATCCTAATGCTTTCTAACAGAACCTATGGCTTTCTAGACTGAGAGACCAAATCTCACCCACAGATGTAATCAAAGATTCAATACATATTTGTTAAACCCTTGCTACATGCTACGTACTATGCTAGGCACTGGGGATGCAATCATGAATGACAATGTAGGGTTTATTTATTTATTTATTTAGAGCACACATGTATGGGGGCGGGGGCAAAGAGAGAGGGAGAAGAATCCCAAGCAGGCTCCATGCTCAGCAGGGAGGCCAACACGGGGTTTGATCTCATGACCTAGAGATCACGACCTGAGCCAAAATCAAGAGTTGGATGCTTAACCAACTGAGCCACCCAGGTGCCCCAATAATGTAGGGTTTATTATGGTCAAATTGCTCTTTTGCTCTTCCACACATTTTAAGATCTTTACAACCAATTCCCTGTTTAAATTTCCTCCATTTGAAAGACCTAGAGCTGTTTCTATTCTCCTGGGTGGACACTGATACAAAGGCAACTTTTCTTTTCCATTGATAATATTGCTGGTACTTACATTTGGAGTCAATTTTAGATAGCAATTATTTCAGGATTAAAATAGACATTCCTGCCTTAGTCCTTTCTTACTCTATTTTTAGAAGATTAAATATTTACTTTCATTGGGGAATGGGTGTTTGGGGGTGGGGGTGGGAATCCTAAAATAGAATGAGGGGGTCAAGTCTGTCCTCATCCATCTCAGTGCTAGAAATACTGGATCAAATAAGTACCATAGGTATGCATTCTGACAATAAGTCCTGAGTGTTTCCACATAACAATCATTAAATTTGATGCAAAAACAATTTACAGTGGAAGACACCCATTGTTACAGAGTTTCCTTGACATCCAAGGAGTAAATGATGTTTGGTTGAATGGGCAGGCAGTAGGTTATAGACTAGAAGATGGTTTTGGGGTAGTCAGGGCTCTGGTTTCTAAAGTCAAGATGTGTAGCTTCCTAACTTCAGTTTCTTCAACTTTCATATGGGAATTCATTCACTAAACAAATATTTATCAAGAACCTACAATGTATATGGTAGAGGAATATATATATAAGCAGTAACTAAGGCATGATAAACCTGACTTTGGCTCCTGGCCTTCCTGCATTCTAGTTGTGTAACCTTGGTGTGCCCTAGACCCATGCTTTGCCATTTTCTGTCTTGCTT